GTTTTAGATAGTCATGTAAATTTCAGTCATGTTTTATTGTCTAAGCGTTATAAGGTCCATGTAGAAAGTTAAGAGAAACAATTTTTCTGTCAGAAGTCTGCAGGAAATTTTTTCATGGTCATCTAAAATTTCATTCAGTTTGCTAGTGGCTGTTGGATAATAATGATAATTAGATAAGTCTCTTTCATATTTGTGGATTTATACTTCAATAGTTTCAATTTAATTTCTGAGTAAGTTTGGTCTGTTGACATTGGAAATGATTGACCTCAAGGGGAAATGAAGCAGATTGAAATTGTCATTCCATGAAAGTGGTCTAACTTTCCACACAAAAAAAAATAAATCTTTATTCAAATCATGTTGTTATCGTAACGGAAAGACATGATAGGAATGAGGTAAATTGCCACACTTCCGATGGGTTGTAAGCCCAAATTAGGTGAATCACAGCTGTGTCTTTTTTTTTGGACAACTGAAAATTGTGTGCATAGCGCATATTAACCCAAGGTCCTAGACTTGAGCATTAAGATAAAATGTCTGAAGGTGGAGTATTTAAATAGCTACATTATTGTCGTGTATTTTAGATTTTTCATCCCATTTTACTACTGTGGGCAAGGAAAGTGTATATCTCGTATCACTATTTCATAATCAATATTGTTTTAATTATAATTACTTTATGGCATAGTTAAAGTTTACAGTCACAATTGAATGTATGTTTTTAAGGTCCTTACAAAGAACACCATCTGCTATAGTTAAAAAAAACATTGTTGTTGTTGCATTGTAGATTACATAGAGTAAGGTGAGCCCTTAATTGCCTTGCTGTATCGATGGTGACCTTATTGATATGTCTTCAAAGCTTTTATCTGTACAGAAACCCCTCATGTTATTGTTTGTAAATCAAAATGTATAATCTGTATGACCTTTGTAGATCAGCATTGGCTTTTTATGAAACATGTTTCATTCACAAGTAGTACATGAGTTCATTTTTTTAAAGAGATTAACAAAAATTCTCTTAAAATTCCATTTTTGAAAATATCTGGTTGTGCGCTTACACTTGCATGCATGCCAGTAAAACATAATGCATTCTAATGCTATGATAAGGAGAAAAAAATACATATCAAGGAGTTTCCAAAATTAAATACCTGTTGGCTTGTTTCCCTTATTAAAAGTTTGTATCCTTTCTTGAGAACAGACAAAGTTTTGTAATTGTTCTATGTATTTCTTGATCCTAGCATTATTATGTGTCTCCATTCAGTTAAGAGGTCGGTCTTCTAGGAATCTAAAAATACCTGTACTTAATTTTTTTTTTTTTTAAAAAAAAGGAAAATAAAAAGAAAGAAAATAAAAAAAAGATGGCAAATAAGTTCCTATAAGATGGTGCTTTCTTGTATAGATGCTTTTTTTTCTTTCAAAACTGCAGCAAACTTTAGTCATGCACAGTAATGCAATATATAAATAGGCGTGGAAGTTTTTGTGGCTGCACAGGTCTCCTGAAACAGGAGTAAAAGGTAATGTAAAGTAAAGTTTAACTTGATGAATTCAATGTACTTGAGTCTTGTGAAGTTCATTAGGTCATGAAAGGCCGTAATAAAATTAACTTAGTTAATCTCAGTTAATAATTTTAAAGAATGAATTATGAAGCTATTGAATAAATCGTTAAAATCAATCAAATCTTGACAGTTATGATTAATGAAAATAGTTTAATTTTTAAAGTGTACTGCAAAAGTTGATTAGATTATTTGCACGCCGGTATTGTAAATTTTTTATGAAAAGAAATGTGGACTCAATATTTTTAAAGCTTAGTTCTTTTAAGGACCTTGACTGCTACCTGGGGGACCTTGGCTAAATGTTACCTGGAGGACCTTGACTAAATGTTATCTAAGCAAACTCTCAAATGTGTACCCCACTAACACGCACACTTCATATAATTTCATCTAAACCCTAACAGTGCCCCCAGGCAGGTCGCTCCCTTCAAATCCCCTAGATTCACCCTTGGCTTGATGTTACAAATACCGGTATTTCTTGTTCTTTGATAGCTATTCAAATGTTTCTACTCTTTTGTTTCAAGCAAGTAATACAATGAATATTTCATATTAAAATTTTTAATCACATTTGACACAACTTTGTTTAAGAAAAATATTATGTTAATATGTGATCTGAGGGAAAGGATAAATTGTTGGATCTCCTTACTCTGTAATACTGTTACTGTGTTTTTCCATGTTTATGCATTACATCTATTCCTTGAAGATTCACAACAGTGTCTCATACGATCTGAATTTAATGTAATAAAAATGGGTCTTTTGTGTCTGTATGAGAAACTATTTATGTTACCGGTTTCAAACTTTACTTTTAGCTGCTAACTTCATTGTCATGTGTTTTTGAATGTACAAAATTAGTTAAAGGGAGTAAAGTAAAATAAATAGCATTTTATTGTACTCATCAACAGTGAGCTTAGTTTTAATAATGTACACAATTTCTACCTATTGTTGTTTTAAAAGTCTGGATTTTAACTTATTTACCAGGTAATTGTTTTATGAAGGTTCTGATGTACCAATTTGTTTGTTTTTTTAAATCCTTTCAGAATTTCTGGAGAAGTTTATTTTTAAGATTTAGGCATGAATATATTCCATGTTCAAATTTTGGTCAGTTGTACTTTTACAGTTTTTATGGAACAGCTGTAGTAATGTACAGGTACTATTCTAAATTACATTTTATGTCCTGAGTCAAAGTATCTGATTAAATATAGTTACCAGTATAGTAATTTTTACTTTTGGTACTTTTAAGAGGCATCATTCCACTGTATTTTAACATTAAAATCATAGATAGATTAGTATCATTCCATTATATTTTGGTATCATAAATAATATAATTTAAAAAAAAAATTTTTTAACATAAAACAGAAAAAAAAATTAAATAGCATTTCCTCCATAACTTATTTTTTTGCAAAAGATTTATTTTTTATAAATTTATATTCAATGAATTTTGACAGAAATTTGTTTTGACAGTTTTGATGCCATCAGTTTCTGTCTTTTCCCTCATAACATTCTATGGAGTGATACCTCCACCTATTTCAATAGCATTAATAAATATACACACCCATAGCTACCATCATTTTACCATTCTCTTCTTTCATTCCATATCATCAGGGTGGGAACTATTTATATAGTGTATTTATGCAGGTGTAAGTGTTTATTCCAGTTGGTTGACTGCTATATTTCTATGCTTTCATTTCGTAAACATATCAACCAAATCATTCCAATGCAACCAATCTTATTTACTAGATTGATGAATAATATTATTCCCTACCATATCTTAGACTTAATTTAGTGACAATGGGATTGACTGGCTTAAGAGAAGTGTGTTTTTTTGAGTCCTTTTGTATTTTTGTAAATTCTGACATTCCATATCATTTTTTCCAAACATTCCATATTTGAGAATTTACATTTCAGATGTGTAACCAGTGATTCTGATAAGGTCATACTGGACTCAAATGGTGCTGGCCTTGATTTTTTAAAAAGAATTTTAAAATTATCCTGTCATATTCTTTTACCATACTGAAACTAAAGAATAATTATTGTTTGTACTTGCTATATTTATTGAAACTCAAAACAAATAAAGGTTTGATAACTATATACATTTTCAAATATAGGTTACCACTTAGTACCAGTACTTTGTAGTACCGTAGTTGTGATCGCAACATCAAGCCTGATGAACATTATACTTAAACTTAAATAACTTCATTGTTGTTGCAGTTTCAGTCAATGTTACCTCTACATTCCAAATCTACAAGTGCTCTTTTTTTTTTATTAAACATTTATATTATGTGACTTCACTGGAAATTCAGAAATACGCTAATAGATTACATTATAATTATGAAAAGTAATATTTTCTAAAGTTTAGAAGAAAAAAAATACCACAGATTTTTTTTCCTTCATTTTATGTTATGCAAGATGTGTTTTGGAAGAATGTGAACCTATCATTACTCCTCATCATACTAAATTTATATATAATGCCTTATGCAAAGTAAGCAATTAAATAAAAATGTTTACTTGAAAAAGAACAACAACCTAGTGTTGAGTTGATACTTTTTTCATATTACTAGCAAGAGTACCAGTAATTATTCCTGTAATTAATTAAGTGCTTTGAAATCACATGCGCCACTCAAACTGTCAGTAGTTTTAGTGCCTTGAAATCATATGTGCCACTCAAACTATAGTAGCATTGGTATTAAAAAACTAACAAAAAAAAAAAGGTTTACCTATGACACTCTACATTACTGATGTAGTTGTGATGCATTGGGATTATTTTTCCTAAAGCTGACTGACTCAACTGATCAGATAAGGTACTGCTGAGCTGGAGTTATTATTCCTAAATCTAACTCAACAAGGTAAGTACTAACAGTACCGTACTGAAATTTGAATTTTTTTAGAGGAAAAAAAATAAGGAAACATTTCTCAGACCTGTTTACTCTTACGATTTTGGTGTACAATTTTGAGGTGTATAGATTGTATATACTGTGTTTATTTTTTACTATAAACTATAAATATAAAGTATTTAACGATTTTGTGATGATATTGTACGATTTTAAGAGTTTGAAAGGTAAACAGGTGTGATTTCTTAATAAATTTTAAAATAACATTAACATTATCATTATTAACATACAGGAACTTTTTCCCCCTCAAAATTAAATTCTGGTATTATCCAAATTTTATCAAATGATACCAGTATTTAGTTCTCTCTCTTCCAATTAATTTAAGCCCAGCATACATTAGAAATCTCTGTTGCCTGCTCATTTGCACAGCTTCAAAGTTCAAATTATATTAAATTCTACCAGTACGGTATATGAGAACAAGTTAAGATGAAATTCACCTACTGTTTTCTTGGGGGTTTGAGACTTAGTCTAAAAATTGGTAGGAGATGCCAGATTTGGTAAACAATTGGTAGAGTGAAAATAGTGTTGGGAAATCCTGGCCTTACTTATAGATAACTCAATTCATTTAATTTAAATAGATCAGCAATGTAATCCGTTGCTTCAGTACGATTAAGTACAAAGGCATTTGGCTTCCACAGCCATAAAAAATGCTGGAGTTGGAAACACAAAGTTTGCTCAAATAAACCTGGCAACATACAACTCAGGTCTATTTCATTAAACTGATGTATATTTGACTAAATTAAAAAAGAACAAACAAAATAATTTATTTAATTTTAATTTAACAAAAGCAAACAATATTTATGTGTGAATCATGTTCATGATAACAAATAATTTTTTTTCTCTTCTAAAACTAAAATAATGACTTATGTACGGTAATTCAATTTGCCAAACAAGGGAAAAATATGAATGACACTTCGATACCCATCAACTAATAAGACTAATTAACCAAATAAAATAAATGCCTAAAAAGTAGTGATAAGCTAAATTATAGAAATCTATGAAGAATATTGTTCTGATAATTACTGATCACTGATATATAAATGAAAGGAAATCAGATCAATTTTGTTTAATGTAAATCATAACTCGTGGAAAAAAAACAACTATATTGTTAAAAAAGTGGCAGTATGGCGTATCAGTAGCACCTGGCAGTATTTAATATCAAATTGGTATTGAGGCAAAAAAATGTTTCATCTGATATCCCAAATTAATAAGAAGTTATAGATAAAATAAGGGTACCGGTAGCAAACTGACTTTGCATCTAATGAAGGACTTAACCACTAAAGCTGAACTAAATCTTAAAAATTATAAATACTGGTATTAATGAATATGCTTAACATATAAAAAATATTGTTCTGTCACAGAAGCAAAAAGAATTAACTAGATAGTTAATGGAATTAGATGTGACACATGGTTTCATTTTATCAATTCAAGTGAACTCTGCAAAACAAATCAATTCTTCCCCGTAGATCCGAAGCCACCAGTGCCCCTCTCTGTCTCCTCCAGTGTTGAAAATTCTTTCAACTCTGGCAAATAAATTCTCTCACATATCAGCTGGGCTATTCTGTCTCCTTTGCTGACCTTAAAGTCTTCCTCTGAGAAGTTGAATAAAACAACACCAACATTTCCTCTGTAGTCTTGGTCAATCACACCAGCACCAACATCAATAAAGTGTTTGGCAGCCAAACCGGAACGTGGTGCGACTCTACCATAGCATCCATCTGGAAGGGCTATTTGAATGTCTGTCTTTACTATCTCTTTACCTCGTGACGGGATGGTATAATCGTAAGCACTGGAAAAAAATTAATTAACTTTAAAATAAATAAAAAGCATCAAAATAAAATAGATTTAACATTTATCCATTACAGTTATAGGTATCTATGGTTTTGCAAAAAAATTTTTTTAAAAATAAAATTGTAAAACTGATGCTGAAGACAAGTCAGAAAAAAAAAGTGTTTGTCATCAGCGGATGAGTGGTGCCTATCAGTATCAGGCATTTGACCTATCTTGTTTACCTACATAAACTATACCGGTAAATATTTTATTCCCCTCCTCAGTCCTAAAGTCTTTCTGTTGGCCCTCTCTAATGTGATAATTTATTTCATTTTTAAAGTAATTGTTTGACACATGTGATACCTTATAGGCAAAAATAATAAAAATTAATTTAAACAATTGCTCAGTGGTGAACCTAAAGGTATGTAACATAAAATCATGTCGAGTGTGCTATGGCTAGGGAATGCACATTTGGGATTTCACCTTGGTGGCATTAATCATTAAGTCATGGTAAGCTATTGCATATACAAGGATCCAGTCCTTTTTGTCACAGAAAATGCCACTCCAGCATTCTGTCTTTTATTTTTGTCAGATTTTACTTCAAGTTAAAGTTATCTAAATGCACATATATTTTAATCACACAAATGTATCACACATTGTTTCGTTAAAAAAAAAAAAAAGCACTGACTAGACCTCTTGGAAAATGTATTCTCTTTATTTTATGCTTTTCATTACTTGACTTTGTTGATTCTAAAGCAGGCTACAGCTAGGAAATTCCAAATTCTCTACTTACTTACTTTACTTAGGCCTATATTTCTATAGGCTAAATTATAATTAATTCTGATGAGACTAGCAGTATAGTGTAGTCTTAATTAGGCCCAACGGTATAAGATGTCATGCAAATTTTGAAACCCCCCACCCCCCCATCACTGCCATCACCCCCAATCTTAAAAAAAATAAACATATGACAGTCAGTTGACACCCCTCCCCCAATAATATCACAAACCTCTGCACCGCCCCCCCCCCCAACCGCAATTTAAAAAAACATCTGTCTACTCTGTCCTTTATAAACCCTTAAAATAATATCACAAACCTCTGCCCCGCCCCCCCCCCCAACCGCAATTTAAAAAAACATCTGTCTACTCTGTCCTTTATAAACCCTTACAAAATTCACCTCCAATGAATGCTGCACCTTCAGTAGAAACATTTCCCTAGAACAATAGTGATAGCACCACAATGGTCATTGCTAGTTCTTGCAAAAACCCTCCTTAAAAATCAGTCTTCATGTATTTTGATTAGCATTAGCAGTAAATCTTCTGGTGAATTTTGTTTGGGCCTTACTTCCAGGCATGTCAAAGGGTATGGTAAGGGGTATTCCCAGGGAGGTTCTGATCCTCCCCCAAAAAGAAACTGCAAATGACATCCCAGATTACATGTTTTTGTTTTGTTTTTAAAGAAGGTTCTCTCAGTGATAGTACTTCATAAATAAAATAATTTATTATTCCGGTACTGTAATTGTATAATAGAGTTAATCTGTTAATGTCTGTAATACGCTATTTATCAATGGCCCCATAGTATGAGATGTAATCAGTGATCAGATCAATGAGTGGGTCATGAGAAACATAAATATTTCACAAGTTTTAAATAAAGTCATTGACAGCTGTTTGAAATTTATAACAGACTTTCTCCCCTTTTCAACACTATCTCCTGTTAGGGGCAGTGAAAATCAAAATATAAAATGTCGGCAAATGATTCTTGGCTAATGCAAAGAGATGTCGCCATGACATCATTTACGTGTTTTTGTTAGTTTCTGTTTTGGATTTACTCCCCTTATTTTTTTGTTAATAGTTACATTTTTCTTAATATGACGATGGCAGCATGTTTTAATTATATTTTTGATTAATTATAATCTTAAAATTTCATTGGTTAGGTAATTATATTTTAATATTTCTGCCATATTTGAAAATGAATTTGGCATGGACAGGCATTCTATTTTATTCATTTTCTGGATATTCTTTTCGGTGGAACTTGAAATAAAGTGTGTAAAATGTATTCTATGAAACTGTAAGTTGGGTTTTCATTATTTATTTTACAATTTTTATTTGTTTTTCTTCATTTTTATTTTTATACTTTTCTTGCCACAGTGTGTAAGTTACACTGTAACTGCAGCAGCCCACATGTTTTTTTACTTGAGGCTTTAGGGCTAGTTTCAGGGTTAGGGCTAGATTTAGGGTTCATTTTTTAGGTTTGTCTTGGTGACAGTGAATTATTTTGTGTGTGTACTGACTAAAATATGTGAGGAAAATGAGCACTTCTTGCCAAATATCTAGACGGATACAATAAAGTAGCTACGTTCACCACGAAATTTATATACTGGTGGACATTTGTTCATTAAATTTTATCTTTTTCATTTTTAGACGTAAAAGTTCATGGGTCGCGGCAACCAAGATGACGGCCATGTAAAAATGAAATAACTCACTCTCTTTGTATTTACCCAATTTCATAATTAAAAAAAACCAACAACATCAAAGTCAGAGACAAATTCTGCTCTAGGGATCATCATGTTCAATGGTTGGTGATTCCATGCCCCATAAATAATCTATGTCATGATTATGTACCCAAGACAAAGCAAAGAGGAGACTATGACAAAGGGTTTATATATAAATTGGTAATATACGTGTTTTCATTGAGATAACAACACTAAAAGACACGTGACGATAACTTCAGATTCAGAGATATGCGATTGACTAGTACCGGTACTAGTACTTTAGTTCTACCTGTACAAATCAAAGCCTGCTGCCAGCGGAGATCCTCTGGTAGGAGCTGTCGCATGTTCGGATAGTTTAGCAAACCTCAAAGCTACTGATTCCCCTATATATTGTTGCCTGGATCCTACCAGTTTCTGAGCACTTTCCATTATGACAGCATTTACAGCAGTTCCAGGCATTTTTCGAGTAATAAAAAGTTCTAAAGCTGAACTGGCTATGTCAATTCGCTTTTCCCGCGGAATAACAAGATCCAGAAATTTTATAGCTTTGATGACGAAATTCATTTCCGGTGGTGATTAAAAAGTATTACACTTCAGTAGCTAAGCTTGATTTCACGTGAATCAGAACCTTGGATAGTAAGGAAATCAAAACAAATTATTGAGCAAGCATAAACCTCAATAGCGGTACCATAAATCCAACAATACTTAAATAGGTTTTACGCACTGCACTTAAACAAATTGACACCATTTTCTTAATTAACAAGAATTTTGCGAATATAAATTTTTAAGTGACACACAACAAGAAAAAAGTATTAGTAGTTTCCCCTTGTATATAAATTTGCAACTGGGTTTAAAAAAGTTTCTTCCAAACGCCGCTAAAACAAAACAAACAACAAAAAATAATTTTGACTGATTAGTTTTTTAACATTCTATTTTAATTTTATTTTTTTAAAAGCAATAGTAGTACATCTAATTTAAAAGGTATAAATAATTTTGTACAATTTGAGCACAACTTTCCAAGTTGTTTCCTTTGTGAACAATTTCTAGTTAACGCATTGTAAAGGCAAAGGGGCGATCGGGGTTGGACCGTTGGTTGTGGGCTAGGAAAACCAGATTTTGGGTGAAAGTATTTTTTTTTTTTTAAAAGTTTGGGGTGGATCAGGGTCGGCTCAAGGCGGGTACGATGCGTGATCATCACACAGGCACCAAGGCGGAAAAATTTGTAGAAAAAAAAACAAAACAAAAAACAACCCAACTTGTTTTCTGAACTCAAACCATAATTTTCCAGAGGGCGACCATTGCCTATTTTCACCTACCCTAAAAATGTCTATCGCCGGGGGGTGGGGGGGTGGATAGATTTATATCACGAATGACTTGAGACACCCTCAAAATGTAAACATTTAGGTAGTGCGTGCTGATGCAAATATGAGAGTAGGCCTATATGCTTCATATTATAATAAAGGATGTTCGAAATTATTATTTTTAATTTAGACTTTAGACTTTTTTGTGTGGAAGGAAAAAAGGAAGATGGCTGGGTTTTGAAGCTTTCAATTTATTAGAACACTTTCTTATTTTCCTAAACACCCTAAAAACAATATTTACAAAATGGGGAAAAACTATGAGCGTTTTATAAATTAAATGTAAAAACAAGAGTTCTCGAGGCAACCTTGATATTACTAAGGCAAAAGGACACTCAAGGTTTTTAAGATTTAATTCCCGTTTAAAAAACGTAGCTGCATGAAATCAAATTAAAACAATTACATTTGAGCTCTGTAACTATAGCCGTAACGTTCACTAATACACGAGATATGCATAACTTATAAAGCCTAAACAGTTGAATGTGATACCCTAACACAGCTCACAAAAAGCAATGACATCATTAATACATCTAGCCTACCAACCTCGTTATTATCTGACAATAAATTATATGACTGATGAACGAATTAAGTATATTCATAGACCTACTAAAAAACAATGATTAAGCATAGTGCTACTTACATTTATTTGTTAAATTTTATTTAAGTTTATTCCTACATACAAACATTGTGACTGTCAAATTGTAAATTGTGCGATCACTAACATCTAGAAATAAAGAGGTCAATTAAGAAAAATATCCACAAAACTGATGCGCATCGCGTGCGAAAAGCTCCAAGTAAAGTAATTTGTTAGGTCAGATTTGGGCAAGATTAGGATTGTGTACTATTGGTTGGGGCAACATAACTTGTTCATTAGGTTGGGATTCTCAAATTCTTTATTATCCTTAACCCTAGGCAAGTGGCTCCAGAGGCGTAGCGTAGTGGGGGCGGGGGGGGGGGGACGGATTTCCCCGG